ATACAATCATTTTATTTACTTACGTCAGTACTTATGTATAACATTACATTTAGGTAGTTAAAACACCGTGTTGTATTTTACACCATAAATGAATCTAAACATGCCTACTGAACTAGCACAGTTCTCTACAAACGTGATCGGGTGATCACGTGATTAATCTGATTAGTTAAACCAAATCAGGTCATGTAAATTCACACTTTTATTCCTATATTTAAGAAAATATAGTGAAAACACGTTATTATTAGGAATAACACATTTTAAATTGTAACAGTACAACATAAAATATAACAGTACCTTGTAAAAAGAAAATATGCACTCAAACATGTAAAAATCTACACAATGTAGCATGGTATGTCAGTTCATTTACATTTTTCGTGTATTAAAACCATTACAAATGGTATATAATAAGCCTATGTGAATTACCACAATTTTTATCAGTCGTACTGAATACTTCACTTTTCCTGTGCGGCTTCATCCTTTGTTTTTTGTAGTCTGGGCATTTTGTTCATTTATTCTGTATGCCAGTCCAATTTCTCATGGCAATTCTATAAGCTTCCACACCCTACAGTCAAAAATGCATAAAAACAGCAGCAGGGCTCCCCTTGTGGAGCCGCATTGTCTGTCAGTTATCGACCGGCTGCATTTGTGAAAATGGGGCACCAGCAATTTGATATAAGCGGCAGCTTAATGTCACACATATCGTGCAATAATCTACGCCCCAGGGAGTGTACTGCGTACAAAAATGCATATCTGCTTAGGAAATTAGTCCGTAAACACTCACAACAGTTAATTGTGTGACAGGCTCTGCTGAACCTGCATGAGAATGACCAAGGCTATTTGCGACAATGTCATATGAAATATATTGATGTATATTATAGTTTTTCTACGGCTACTATCCACAATACGCAAATTAGATAATTTATCGCAATACTTAACCCTCAAAGGTCACACTGGTGCGAATTCGCACCACCGCTTTTTTTAACAGCTGGCATTTCTCAGGTAACAGCGCCGAGGGTTCTCCCACCACGATAATTTCTTGTATAGCCCAAATATTCGAGCCGTACCACAACTAGCCTCAGTCTGTTATTGTCAGCTAAACTAGAAAGTCCGATCGATGCGAATTCGCACTAATGTAACTTTAGTGTGGGCAAAAGTGTGCTGAATTTATATCATATAGCTAATCTAGAAATGAAGTGAATTGAAATGCATTTTTTTTAACCTCATTTTACGTGTCGAATAGACTAGATTATTGTTTATTTAGTTATCGTTAATATATTGTTTTCAAATATTTTTTTCATTAATAGTTTAATTAATTGTAACATGTATTTGTTGATATTTATGGATAATATTGGTTAAATTAGTATTTTTATACAGAAGAGTGCAAATTAAACATCAATTTACAAAAAAGAGGCCAAAAATCTCAACTTCAAAAAATGCCTATATTCGAGACCGGGAAAAATCGATAATATCGTTTTATCAGTATGGGGTATTTTTTTCTTAAAAAGTGTGACCTTTGAAGGTTAAACCACGACAAAAAAATTACATAAGCGTGCGCAAAAACTTTTCTGCACTAAAAACTGAACATAGAGCTCCAAGTGGTTGCGCTGGAAACAATTTTGTAAATGCGGGAATTTTGAAACATTGTAGACAATTTATTGGAATCCAAGCAGCGTTCTCGACTTTTCTTCACTTTTTCACTCATTGCGTACTTAGGCTATTTCCATCTTTTATTATTTAAATCCATGGTACAGGGCGACGATATGCTCAATGCGTAATAAGTGCAAAAATGAAAATAAATCGAAAACGCTGCAAATTGTTTCTGTTTTTGCTTATTGTGGAACTAACGCGAAATGTTATTTCTCATGCTTGTGTACTGTTATCAACTAAATACGTTTAAGAATACGAAAGTGAATTACAAAATATATTTAAAACATAGTGCACTAGATTTTCTATACAACATAAATAGTTAGAAATTTGTAGATAATAATTGATAACCGCTAGAAGCTGTTAATGTATATGCAATAATATTACTTATTGTAATATTTTTTATTCTGATGACAAAATAAAACAAGTGAACACGGAATAATAATAGTAATTATGAAACGGAGAGTCAGTCATTAAAAAGATTTACCTGGAAAAAGCTTATTTTTTAGAGAGATGGTCAAACACAAGTATTGGTTCGAAGATAAACTGTTTATCTTTTATTGGAAACGATGCCTTGAACTAAACGTATTTTCAGATCCAAGCATCCAACATCTAATTGTTATTTTTTTTTTAAATCCAACTAAATGTAATAGAAAAACGTCACAGCTTTATAAAATTCAATTATTGATTTACATTTAATTTTTAATAAAAGTTTTCTCTATATTTATCTCTATACACTGCAAGAATAACAATTCAAAATTGTTTAAGTAAGGTATAATTTTAAACAGTTAACGGCTGATGTTAGATTAGTTTCTTTTGTAGTCATTGTTTAACATAAAATAATAAATACATTCCACAATATGTGATTTCTTGAAATTATTAATAGTCCAGGCGATAGAGTATTCGAAGCGTTTGTATTTGAAGTTATCTATTTTGTTGTACAGAAAAATCCCAAATATTATATAGAATAAGAATCCGAGTTTGCCTATTCCAGAAAACCATTGCTAAATTCAGAAAACAACAAACATACAAAAAGAACGAAAAATTATCCGTTTTTTCGACAATGAAAGTAAGCCCTAAATAAAAAAAGTCATTCTTTATTTTTTAACGATTTTCTATAAAGTGACAAGAACTGCGAATCAAAAAGGTTGAATTTTGCATTAAAAATAGTAGAAAATCATATGAAGAGCACACGGGAAAAACGATCCAAGTCAGATCTGGCAAGTTTTAAGATAAATCAGTTTTAAAGTTTGAAAGTGTCCTGATATTATATACTGAAAAAAAAACAAAATATCTATTTGCCTTAAATAGATGATTTATTAACGTTTTGACAAAAAGTAAAGCAAGTATTTCCGAAAACAATTTTTTCAAAAAAAAACAAACCTTAAAAACATACCTAACTACACAAAAAAGATGGAAAAACGATGTAAGTCCAAAACAAATTTTGTTTTAAGCTTCGTTTTAGCTAACAAAAATAACCACTGTAACCCCGCTCGTTTGTTGTTTTTGGACAGATGTATTAAACTGTCAAAATGATAGGTTGTCATTAACATGTGAGCTAGAGATTTCTCTTTTCTGAAGAGTGTTATATGCTTTATTTTGAAATTTTCTTAATTAACAATCCTGTCAATCGAAAACCACGCGATCGATCGTTGCAAAATTTTTAGGGTAGAATTGACATATGTTTACTATTTCTTCACAAAGTTTTATCAAAAATTATAACCTAAAATGTAATAAGAATGTGGCGTAACTAGCGCCCTCTATGAAATATCCAAAAAATAATTAGACCAACGTATTTGGCGTCCTTAAAAACTCCGGAATACCAAATTTTATAAAAATATTTCGCACCGTTTGGAAATTTTCGTAAAAATTCTATTTATTTTGTCGCTCTGTATCTCGAAAACAAGAGGAGATAGACATATAGTTCATAAGATAAAAAAATTCTTATTAACTTAATTTGAGATAGCATGTTTTCCAACCGATATACCGAAATCTGAGATAGCATGTTTTCGTACTAATGCGTCGAATAATACTTGAAACACTTTTTTAATGATTATTACCAAAGTTATTACCAAGAATCCCTCCTAAATGGAACACACTGCGCGGAGTTATGATTAACTATTTAATCAATGTGAATGTAAACAAATTAATAAGAACACTGTTAGTCCAGTCGAAGGAAGCCGAAAACATCGTGATTGTGCAAATCCATAAACCCGAAATATAAAATAATACATTAAAATGCACGAGCGTCCGTCGTAAGAAAAAAAAATAAAATTTGCTTTGCAAAAATGTTTTATTATCTGTTTTTCTTCAATATCTCAGTTGGATCGTACGCTGCGAAGAAAATACAAGAGATCATTTTTGTTTTAAATGAAATTTTATACAAGATGGCGATGCTCAATTTTTTTACAAAAAGAATTTTGTAATTAACAGAAAATGGCAAAAATGTTAACACAAGCTCACTTCTGTAACTATAATAGTTTTTGAGATATTTAAAAAATAAACTTGAAAAATTGGAAAAATAGTGAAATTTTGAATTTTGATTAATTTAACTAAGATTTTTAAATTTTGGCAGATCTTTGCTTTATGATAAAGGAAAACTTTTGACCAAATTTCGTCCAAATTGAAAGGGGTCGATTCCAACCATTGGTCGATTTGGCATGGAATGACCCAAGTATCAAATCGTCACTTTTTGGCAATAATAATAAAGTTAAACGTTCCAATATCATTGTTTTTGTTTTGGTATTTGGCACATGTCAAAAATAACCCGATTAATTTTTTCTATAACATTTCCCAAAAGTTACTGTTCTTATTGGAATATTCTACTCGCACTACTTTGCAGCCATCATCAGCAGAACTGATCGAGACACAAGTACTTTGGAGGCTTTTGGTCAGTAACACAAAACTTAGGACAATTTCAGCCAATTATACCAAACCCACATGTTCATAATAGCCAGTGCGGTGTTCTTACTTTTCCCGTCCCCGCCTATGGTTTCTGGCATGACGTCAAAGGCGAATAACTATATATTTTTAATAATATTCAACGAAAAGCTCATCACATTACGAACGATGCAGTTTTTGTAAGCATATTTTCACTGTGCGTCAAGTAAAAAATATTTCCATCTTACTCATCAGAATATTGCGTATGCGATTCGTATTTTACACATTGCTCCGTTACTAATATTGTATATTACATTGTGATTCCAATTAGGAATGCATCACATTTCTGCCGCTTTCACTTTTTCATAATCATTTAAAGAGTGTTGCAAATACAAAAGTAAATGTTCCTCTTGCAGAGTGATTCTAAATTTATATAGTAGATGTCACCCTCTCTGCTGTGTTCGCCAATAGTGTGCAACTGCTTACTGCAACACCGGTTATACATTATCGTACGTTTCTTTGTCATGTGTCATGTGACGTGATCTCAGTTTTTCCCCTGAGCACAATCAATGGTTAGATTATCTGCTTACTGATAGGCAGAAATATCAGAAGCATTTTTTCTAAGACGCTATCCGTTGTGCGTTGTGTGATTCTATTTGGGAGAATTATATCTTCTACATTTTATATTTGTTAGCTATCAGCCAAGGTCAGGGGTAGAGAGACGCCCGAGAAGAATATAAGATTCGTAAAATGGGTGTTATGATCCCCTATACCGTTGCCTTCTTAGCAACTTTGAACGCAGGTGAGCACAGTTTTACTCGATCGATATTACAGGGTCCTATTCAGGGGGAGTTGCTTAGGTTTGAATGCATAAAGAAATCATTATTTTTTTGTGTAAATGTCATACGTAATTATTAATTATCTTTTTAGTTGTTTCCACATAGTAGCACGTATGCATTGTATTCAGATTTGCCGCTGGCATACAGAAGATGTCATACAATTTTATCACGTTGTTTTAGTTTGTAAAATATTTTTAGGTATGCACAAAAGAACATGTTAATTAAGTTAATTGATGAAGAAAATTTGTGGATCGATTTTAATTAATTTATTGTCAATAAAGAAAATTATAATTTGATATATTCTTCTTAAAAACATAGTTTTTAATCGAAATTGTGCATATTTATTATGCAAAACGATAATACCGAGGATTTAAGATTTAAAAAATTACATTTTTTTGTTGTTTTCCTTATTGTGTGCAACTATCGCTTATCGCTTATCTGTTCGTTGAAAATCAGTTATCGGACTTGTCATATCGATTTACCAAGAATCTACAAATATATTTTTAATTTAATAAATCGTAAATACTGATTTTCGCCAACTTAAGGAGGTATATCGGGTTTACTCAAATGCACAGATGTACTTGAAATTTATATAGCGTATTAGCCAGTGCTCCCTCTGTACGTCATATTTTTTTTTAAATTTTTTTGAATCTAGATTTTGAGATATTGTTGTTGAAAGTTGTTCATTTTGAAATAGGTTTATATGGCGAAGATGGAAGGTGCGGCTCTTTTTTGCCCATAACTGAGAAAAAAATGTAGAAATTGTGAAACAAAACTTTTCCATATATAGTACACAGTATTATCTTACTTTTGATGTAAAACTAATGTAAGTTTTGAACATAGTACAGCTGTATTAATTAGAAACAGAAACCAATAATTGCATTTCTGTCTGACTTGAGGATTAATGTGACAACATCGCAATCAGCTGACAGCAAGGAGGGAATACATTTGAAAGACTTGATAAAAACGAAATTGATTTCAAACATATAAATTTTTCCTAAATCCCATGTACATTGTTATCAACAATAAATTATCCACAACAGATGATTTTTTGTAATGTTTTTAAAAAATTAGATTAATTAAAAAAGACTAGGAAGCTGTGATATATTTATTGGAATAAAAAATACAGTTGAGAAATCCTTTTAATATATTTAATGGTTTATAAAAACATCGTAATCATTACCCAGCAATATTTAGGGTTACATAAAGTTATCTTTACTTAATTAATATAATTAGTAATACTGGAGATAAAAGCATTTGTACGGAATAACAAAGGAACATAAATATTTCTCACCAAACTTTATATCTAAAAAATTAGTTATAGTTGCAAAACTTTTGTAACATTACTAAAATAGAGGTTAAAAAGACGAACAGTGAGTAATAATGTAATTTCTATCACAGAACCTTCAAAATTGCATCCAACATTTTCTTTGACTTGGACGAGAGATGGGTGCGAGTGTCATTTCATTTCTTTAGAACTAAATTAACATAATTCTCATTGTTTTACCAGTTCACATGATTTACGGATTTTAAATAAAGGATACAAATCTTCGCGAGGATTATATGATATATTTGACGCGCAATATCTCCGATGTCCGAGGTCTGTAGGTTCGCAGTGTGTACAACTGCTAGTCAATTATTAGCGCCGTTGCCACATCTACATAGTCTTTATGCGTTCATTAAATATAATTTAAAACTACTTAAATATGATATATTTATGTTGTTAATTAGTCAATATGTATGCTATATGCATATGAGTAGATTTATTTGCTATATAGATAATGTTTATGGCAAATAATTTCAATAGAATTTAATTTTATCAAATCGGCAGCGGGCTTTAGTCCCATAAGAAAAGCATACGACTCCCCCTGCGCTCCCCATTTCCCTCCCTCCCCAATATACCTCCTTAACAGAACCCAAGCAAGCTAGAAACGTGCGAAAATTCGTTTCTGAAGTTAATTCTTAATTCTAGAGCTCCAAGGGGTGAAAAATTGGAGGTGGTACACTATATAGTTTTTAAGAAAAGAATTGTTGTATAAAGATGCGAAAAGGGTATGTTCTTTTATACCTGTATAAACAGTGGAAAGTTTGAGGAGGTTTCCCGATGTTAAAGGACGTTTTATTTTTAGGCACTTTCCGGTAAAATGATTTCGTTGTGTAATTGTTGCATTGTTCTTTTCCAGCAAGTGCATTGAATTGCTTCACCTGCAGCTCCAAGGACACCTTTACCTGTGGATGGAACGTGCCTCTGATCTATTTGTCCTACGGCACTAAACAGTGTGCGAGCGTTGGTGTGCTAGACGCTTTGATCGGTGCTAAGTGCTACAAAATCACAGCTCAAAGTAATAAATGCCACTTTATGTTTAATCAAAATCGGACAAAGTTATAAATTAATGATATTGTAAAACAACAACTACTCTGCTGACTAATGTCCCTAACAGCACTATAATTACATTATTTAATTAGTAGATCATCAGTCTCGTGTGTATCATTTTTTTTTAAACAAACAAACAAGACGTCAAATATTGCTATTTTGTGTAAAATCGTTTTTCAGAGCCTATTTTTTTACAGGCTTGATTTCTGGTAGGACTTTCATACCTTTCCTATCGTTTTTAATATGTACAGTACTGTGGTTACAGATCTGATATACTTCATCAAACATCAGGCGTGCTTCAGGGTTCGCTACTTGGACCACTGTTTTTCATTCTTTTCGTTACTGATATTGGGGATAATTGTAATATCACTTTTAGCTATATGCTGATGATTTGAAAATCTAGGGTTATATCAACTCTGCATCTGACTCTTTACTTACTAAAGCCCAGATTGGATTTGTCCAGCGTATGGTGTTAAAATACCCGGCCACCAATAAATTCTATTCGGTCAAGAAAAGAAATAAATAAAATTTTATAACACCTATTTTATATCAGCACTGTTCAAAATTTTGTCCACCGACGTGTGAACACATTTGGGTCCGTCCTACCCAGTTACTACGAACTAATACAAATGCTGTCTTACTTCACCATAAATTAAAATAATATCCATCAATTCCCGAGTTGCTGTACACTTAAACCATTTTTGACACTTGAAAAACTAATGTAAACACTATCGCATAACGTAATTACTAATATCGGTTTGTTAGACTCAAATTGGAGTATGTCTCTATGGGTTGATCATATTATAATTGTGATGTAACATGATTCGAAAAAGTACAAAGCAAATAGGCAAGTTATATTTTAGATGGGACCTAACCAGCTCAAAGTTTTCTACGGGACTTATTTTTGTACTCTGTAATGTTCTTATACAAAACTGTTAATTACAATGTTGATAACATTATTCTTACATCGCATATTAATTATCACTTTTGTAGACTAAATAATTAACTAAATTATTTGTTTATAATTTCTCCTCACTCTAAATGATAATTAATTATGTTAACATTGAAAACAACTTAGACTTACTCCATTAAAAGATTTTTCTGCTTTCACAGTCGAAATACTCTGTTTTTTTTCAGTCTCTTTTTTGTTTCGTAAACATAATTCGTAGTTTACTTACTATTTTTGGTCTTATTTTTATTGTAGTTTTATTGTTATGTAGGTACATAAATTTTGTATTGCTAGTTTCTAGTTTCCTTTGAGTTTGATGAATTAAATTAAACAAATAAATCATTTGTTGCCAAAACCACCAGACCCTGACCTGCCTGGTCAGGGCATTTGTCCGCAGAGAAGTTATTCCCCACAATATCACGAATTAAAAACTTTGTGTCGCTTAGTGCGTTCGATCTTGCTTTCACAATACCCGAACTAATAAGTCTCCTTTTTCCAGACAAACAGGGCAACTGGCTAGTTGAGCGAGGCTGTTTGCCTCCGGGCGCATTCGGTTGCAACGCCATTGCCTCAGCCGTAGGCTGGATCTCTTCCGAGATGAGCAACGACCCTAACAGCCTCAAGAACCTCAACTGCTACACCTGCAACTCTGATAACTGTAACTCTGCTCAGAGGTTTAGCGGAACCACCCTCGTAGGACTCGCTTTGGCAGCGGCTATTTTCTTATTGTAATCCCTAACGTCCTTATGGGTATATACAGGGTGTTGCAGAAATAAACGCCAACATTTTAACTATATACTCATCAAAAGTAACAATGATCAGTTGCACAGCCCGCTCGACCGCCAGATTTCAATCCGTGTAACTTTTATTTATGGAGTCGTTTGAAACAGCCAATTAATACGGTTGTTAAAGAATGCCTCCAGAATAATTGTAACAATCCGGAAATCCTAGTAAGTGTCCGAGAAAATTCGGGCTGTGTATAATTATGTCTTGACAATAACGGAGGACATATTGACTTTTGTTTCAATTTAATTTAGTAAAATAACTGTGAACCTATTGAAAAAACAACGTTGATTTGTTTTTGGCGAATAAAAGGTTTGTCATATTTATCATTTCTTTGCTAACTGATTTATAAAAATATTATTTTTTAATAGTAAACCAGTTATCGCTATTTTTGTTAATATTCAATCAACTAAGTGTTGGTATTTATTATTACAATTAAAAAAGTACATTTCCATAAAAATTAATAGATTTTCGAAAAAAATGTTAGATAGTTGTTGCTTATGCTGTGTTTAAAATTTTCGCGTTTAATTCAAGGACGTTCTGTATCTACCTATCAATATAAGAATGAGTTGTAAGCAAGAGCATCACCAGCCAATGGTCTAGGAGGGGGCAATATAAGAGAGGGGATGGGAGGAATATAAATTATATGTAGAAATAGGTACAATAAATCATTTTTTTAAATATTTTTAAAACCCTTTTAAGAAAAATATAAATAACTAAAATAAATTAAGGAATTCAACGAAAATTAGGTATAACATAATCTCGGATTTTTTGAAAATTTGTCGACCACTTTATTAATAAAATATTTTTAAAATATGGAAATGTATTACTTTTTAACATAAAATGTTATATTTTTTAATTCTTTTCTCAACAAATATTTATACTAATTTATTACAATAGTTTTTCAAATAAAAATAAGTAGGTAATGTATAGTCTGTCCGAAGTTAGTTGAACATGTAAAAAGCACCTGGCAATAAAATTTAATGAGTTTCATAGGCGTCCCTAAAAAAGTTTTCTGATGAAGGTAAAAAATTATAATAATTTGTATACATTGTGCAGAAAATTTCTATTATATGTTCATTTGGCCAACAACATATTTTAATTATTTATGTCCTCCAACAATTTTATTATATTGATGGTAAATTTCGTTTTGTTCCGTTTCAAAAGGTCTCCAAAATGGCATGTTGTAATAATATTATTTCTTTCTTTCGAAATTGTAATATCAATGATTAATAGAAGGTGCCTATAATAAATTAAAATTACCTGAATCGCACCAAATTTCGCACTATTGCACTGCACTGCTGGGCAATTTGTCGACCACTTGTCAACGGCTGAGATTTATTGCGCAGTAGCCCAATGCAACTGTATTTGTATTTCGTTTGCCCGCGCTCGCATTCGTCAATTGGGCGTATACATTTCCACCACCTCCACGTTTAGTTCATCCAGACCTGTATATGGATATGACTAAATAAAAATGGGAACAAGTTTTTCAAATATTTCAATGCCGAGTTGCTGCGTCAGCGATCGAACCTGGTACATACCGTCATCCTCTTGGTTCTTCAATTGACATCGGAAAGACTATACCTATTAATTTTCAAAATTAAAGTTTAAGTAAATAAAATATTTTATTAAAAATTTCCAATTCAATATTTCCTTTGTTTAAGAAAATGTATGTACTTTTTTCGAATTTCTATCAGCTCCCTCCCCCCCCCCCTACCTCACCTTGGCGACGCCCTAGTGTAGGATGCTACCTTTACAAATTCTTAACTATTGCCTTTTGTTTATTTTTATATAAAAATACGATTAAAAAACTTTAGTTAAGTGTAAAATGAATTGAATATAAAGATTGAAAAAAATAGACAGGAAAAAGCTTTTCCTTCTGAAATCATCCAGCCATCCATTGAAATCCATATCATACTGTTTACCAACCAATAGTACAGTTCCTCCTTTACATAAATTAGATTATTGCATAGTACCATATCTACTGCAATGCCAAAATAGTAGGAAGTAGTCATAAATCAAACCAAAATTTTTACTATTTCTTAATCTAACAAAATAATTATGTGTATTAGCCCTTATGTTCATGTAAAAAAAAAAGAAACGGCTGTGTGTCCATGGTCCATGATTTGGCCAGTTTCCTCAGTTTCCAGCTGAGGCGTGTCAGTGCGTGTCATAAGCGTAAAAGTAGCAAAGACGTGTTAACATTATCACATTTTAGTTATTTCAATAAGTGCTTATCGAGTAACGGTGGATACACCTCGACACAAGAGTTAAAGTTATCATAGAACCACTTGTTATATATTTAGGTGACAACAGTGGTAGCGCTAGTGCCAGTAACAGTGCTTATATCCGTCGTTTCTAGTGTCTTACCGATGTTGCATCCAGTGGCGGCTCGTCGTATGAAGCAACTGGGGCCGGGCCTCATTGTAAAATTTGACTCTCACACCGTATATTTTAATGCCACTATTAACTACTATTGACAATACTATTAACCTAATTAAACAGTTAGGTAAACTAATTTCCAATTACCTATTACATTTTATCAAAAATCATAATAACAGTATAAAATAATTGAATATTGAATATTTCGCGGCTCGCCGTTTCCATCGGCCAGTGAGGTCAGAAATTCTTTGCTTATAGGCGCGTCACACTTGCCTACAATATGCTACAGTTTTAGTGTCTCAGTTCGCGCCGTCGTGGTTAATGTACGCGTCACATAGTACGCGGTTGGTGTGGTGTCTGATGTCAGTGTGAGTGATAATACAAAGGCTTTAAGGATACAAGGCAGGTATTAAAGTAAATAAAAACAACTTCCTTAAAACAAAACAAAGTAAGACTTACTTACTTATTGTATTATCAAATACCTACATAGGTAGCTAATAATTAAACTATCTGACAATATTGTTTTATCTCTTGAAACACTTTTTTCACTACGTATTGACGTAAACTACTGCTCTAAACAAATTAAAATCACCAGCCAAAGAATTTCTGAATTAAGAAACTAGATAAGAAAAATTTAAAAATATTTTTAATTATGCGAAAAATATTACCTTATGAAAATTAGTTTTTATATTTTTTCATATTTTTTAATATTCGTAAACCAAGTTGGAACAATTTTGTTAATTATTAGGTAAATATATCACTGTTTTTTTTGTTACTTAATTTTATTGTTCTGATATTATTATTAATAAAATATAATTTTTAATTTAGTGGGGCTATTGGCGAAGATCTCCATAATAAAAAATGACGTGGAAATTTATTCCTATTTATTATTTGAGAACGGATTAATAAAATATCCAAATAGCCTATTATTTTTTATAAAATCTGAATGAAAATCCTGTTCGTAAACATCATTTTTTCTATAATACTGTAAATGCAACAAAAAATTTCCAGATGTGTTTAGCCGTTTGACCTTGAAAATACACAAAATTTTGTCTGCGGCGCTTTTTTTCTTTCCCACCTAGTAAAAAATCACGGACGCCTATTCACAATGTCACGAGCCGCCACTGGTTGCATTTCATTTTTCAGTGGAGTTTTGTCTTACTGGTTCTACTGTCCCATAACAGAAAACAGTACTGTAGACCGTTTTTGTCTATGAGGGCAGAATTGTCCAATGCACATTTTACCATAAGAAAAAATAAACGTTTTTCGAAAAAAAAAATACATACTCTACTTAGGTCTTCAATTGCGCGGTATAGTGATGCGTATATTTTTACTTACATGCTATTTTCGGTGTGTGATTTTTGGTTAGGCAGAAATAGTTTTATAAAGAAAGATAACCCTTAACTGATCCTTTTGCCATAAAGATTTCTTTAATTAATTTTTTATTTCATAGGGAAAAAACTTAAATTGTACCACGGACTGTTTTGGGAATTAATAACAGTGCCCCACAAAAAAAAAAGGATCGGATCTGGTATTCAGACCCATGTATTTCCATGTATTTTTTTCCGCTGAATCCGAATCTGCCTTCAGATTTGGCCCAACGGGTCTGAGTTTTCGGGAAAATTCACAAAACAGGTCAAAATTCACAAAAAACGTCATTTATGATCGACGAAAGTTATAAAAAAACAAATTATTATACCGACTCACTAGACGTATGATTTTTCTCTCGTTTAATTCCAATTTATCATCATAGAGTCAGACAAGCTGGTCCAATTGCATTCAAAAACAGAAAAGGGATCAGAAACGCCATTTTCAAGGTATAATTCGTATTGCAGAGTTCTGGATCCATCTTTCTATCCACCCATTCATTTATGAATTCATACATCTTTCTATCCAGTCGTTCATGCATGAATACGCATATTTATTTATCCGTAAACGTAGCTGAAATCCAGCATCGTCGCTCTCCCCTTAGTCCTACTCTGTCGCTCGTCACGTTTTCAATTTCGCCAGCGTCCGCTGTTTCTCCCCAAACGCCCAAACAACAACCGAGCTCAGAGGCAGACACCATCCACAGCCAGAAGTGTTAGAAGCTTTTAAGATTTCGCTGCAAAAGTGACCGGTAAAAAATCTCTTGTGCGGCTCCTACCTGCTAGTCTGTTTTTCCAGTTACCTATTATCTGCGTCTTCAAAGAGCAGTGAAAGTGATAAAAAATTGCAAATTCGATTCGCAAAATGGCCACCTTCGTCCCTTACGCCCTTGCCCTTTTGCTGGCTCTCAGTACGGGTAAGTTAAAGCTTTATTTAAAATTTTATAGAAAGGTAAACACCGTTATTTTCGTTATTATTTTTATTGTAGCTGAGTGGAATAATGTAGGGTTGATTTTAATAGACTTTATCCTAGTTTAATATTTATTAACGACGCATTTTTCACACTTTTTTTATTTCCATATTTATATACAACAAACAAACGCGAAAAATTGTTTAAATTATCTGTTAACTTGCAAATAAAAAAGTCTCAAATTAATATATTTTTAGGAAGGAATTCATGACGAAATATACTAGGTATAGGAAATTTTTTACGTTTTGCCCACACGCCAAAATCCATTGTTTCTTAAAAGAATTACTGATAGAATGAATATATTGTTATTTTAATTTAAAAATGCGTTAATTAATTGTTTTGAAACATTATTACTTGATTTCAATACATAAATTTCATATTTCAGTTACTTCACATACCTACTTACATCTTCACTTTCTCTCCTTATGACCATGGTATAACTGCAGTATAAAAAATGTTCATAGGTTGGTATATAATGCTACCTATTACTTAACTTTGAATTTCATTTTGTTAAGCGAATAGCAGCTACAGTAGAATCTTTCTAGTTTTGTTTTTCTTTCTTTTACGGAGAAAATGTATTTGAAATTATGCCATAATTTTTTTTAAATCAGACAAGTTTAACCTTTTATTTTACAGTTGAGATAATCACGTAATCTTGAGATTTTCAGATATAGAAAATAATAGCCAATTGTTTAATTCAAGGTTGACAAAGTTAAGTTTGCGTCAAATTATCAACAGAAAGTTTTTCATCGTCCCCTAAATGACCTTGTGTACGGCCCTATCGATTTAGCAAACCAGACGCCTGGCTATTTTGGTTGTTAGTTATCTCAATTACTTATCCTTGTTGTTTGTTATTGTAACAGTGGGCCATATATAAACAAACATTGCTCACAGTATAAAATAGCTCTGACAAGATACTTACTCATCAACGAGGTACCTATATGACACCCTATAGAGGAAAAAATATGTATTATACTAACGAAAAAGCAACTCCATATCTTAAAAACGGATATCATGTACTAAACACACAAACTGTTAGGCCTATTTTAAACAATGTTTGTTCGGTGATGTCATTTTATTGCTAGTTTTATTACATTAAAGGCAAATTTCTTTATTACTGGGGATTAATTGAGGATAACTACTTGCTTTATAATTATACTTCATAAATTTAATATAATTAGCGCTGTTTTTTGTAGCTTTTCTTGCTTCTTGCTTTTGACCTATTCCTTTTTAAGTTTGTATGATTTATACTTTTGTCATATAGGGGTCGAGTTTTAATTGTAGTTATTTATCTTTTTGTTTTGTGTTTTTTATCATAGTTTTACTTATCCTGTAATTGGGCTTTTGTCCCGTTGGATATTTTATTGTAATAAATAAATAAATAATTTTAAATTTAATCATAATGTGGAATTTATATTTTTCTGATTACCACAGATTTTTCTCTTAGGTCATCATTACGAATTATCGACATGTGGGTGATAAAAATTAGTTTCCACTGTGCTGGGATGACTATTAATGTTGACAACATAATCAATATTTCTTGATACTTACTGGAAATGAAAAAATGTTCTTGGAATACTTTTATAGATTTATCAACTACGTTTTGACGCATCATCGACATTTTGTTGTAATAAACTATTACTTTAATAATGAAAACATTCTAAGTATTACCTACATTTTGTAACTATATGCAAAAATATTTCAGGGGCTGATTCTTTGCACGAAAAAAACGTACTAAAAATTTACACAGTCGCGGCATTGCTGGCTATAATTTATATAGAAAATATGACACTACAATTTGGGTATTACATTACCAACAATTTGTATGTACAGGGTGATTCACTATATTTTGACCCCCCCCCCCCGTTTAACTTTTTTGTTTTAAGTTATAAAAAAATGTGAAATATAAAAGTTGCACTATTTTTTATGGATTTTTCGAAAATGGTAGTAGAAAAACAAATGAAGTCTAAATAAAATGGCCGCGGATGTTAACTTTGTTAAGTTAAATGGAACACCCTGTATATTTTTACATATTTGGATAGAACGTTCCCTGTCGAGCATAGTCATATAGGGTTTGTTGGGTTCATCTCTAACAACAAGCGAGATAATATTAAAAAAACGAAAAGAAGGTTTTTTATTAAGAAAATAAGACTTCTTGTAATTGTTAGACCTTTTTCAGGCATTTCTGTTTTTTTTCAATTACGTAAGGATTTACAGATTTAGTTAAAATATATTTTGATATATCGGATATTGATACTGTCCAAAATCAATTCTTCAATTTCTCGGTCCATTTCTCTTATAAGTAAACAATATAAAAACAGCATTTCAAGACATGAGGCTACTTTAAGCATTATAACCGGGTTAAGAGGGTTTTTAGTAATTCAAATAAAATTATTCAATATTATTATCAAAATATTTATTTAAATTTAATGAATAGACTTTTATTCCACACAAAAATATATGTATTTTGAAAATTCAAATTATGGTGAGTAAATGTAGTGTTGTATAAATGTACAATAAAGAAAATAAAAAAGTAGGTATATTAAAATTCATCCTCTGAATATTCTGATGAATTATCTTCGTCTCCTAGATTGATAACGATAGGTTCCACAGTAACGTCAATTAAATTATCGAGTTCCCACATTTTCTCCTCTTCTTTTTGTACATGATGTATACATCTTTGCCAGTTATCTGCAGTTACTCGTTCCAAGGAATTTTTTAACAAAATTTTCACGTCACTTAATTTAAACGTCGTATTATTTCGCGCTACATCTCCTTTTACCTGCGCCCAGACTAATTCGATTGGGTTAAGTTCACAGTGATAAGGTGGTAACCGTAGTACCGTTATTTGGCGATTTGTTGCCATTTCATCGATAACATATTTTTTCTGATCTTTATTAAGATTGACAAGTGTCAGAAGTTCCTTTTTCACCATATTTGTTTCAAAAGAAATGTTTTTTCCGGATAAACATCTGCGTTCATGTCTTCGTGATAGTCACCTGTATTTTTAGATTCAAATAAAAGTAAACCGCCATCTACAAAACCACTGGCACTACCTATATGTGTCACTATTAATCTTCGCCCTTTACCTGAAGGTGCCTTGAACCCTGTTAAAAGTCCATCCAAAAATGCTTGACGAAAACTTTTTACATTTTTATCTTGCCATACTTTTGTTACAGTATATCCCTCGTTGACCCAAGTTTCGTCTAGATAATAAATATTCCTCCCTTCGTCACGGAATTTTCTAATTGATCTTAAGTAGGATCTTCGCCAACAAATAATTTCATCTTTATCGATAAGAACTGACTTCCTGTTCTGCGTTTCCCAGCAAAAATTCAACTCTCGTAAGACGGCCCATAATTTGCTTCTACTGATTTTTGGCAAATCGTTGTCCTCTGAAAGTTCACTTAAAATTTTGTTTAGCGTTGATATTTCTTTTTTAAAATAAAATGAGTACTTTTCTGCGAATGACATTTTTGAAGAAATCATCTATAACGACTTTTGACCTCCCTGTAGATGATTTTGGGGGATTTACAGTATCTTGTTCATTTTTTGTTTCCTTTAAAAGTCTGTAGATAGTCGATTTTCCAATCCCTGTCATTTTTATTAGCATCAGTGTTACCCGATAATTACCTGAAACGAAATATTACAACGCCCATGGCCGGTTCTTATCTCGGGGTTTTATTACTCTCTTTCATTTCCAAACAGAGTATAATCGATTTCAATAAAAGATGGCTCATTTTAAAGAACTAATAATAAAATTTATATATAGGATAGGACATAGGAATAAAAATATTATTTTCCTGCTCAACGGTAGACGAAGCTAATCAGAAAAGTTTTGTAATTGTCTCCGTTTACTAAAAAAATTAATGCAATGATATAGGTTTTTTTTCATGGCTTGACGGAACCATATCTTTTTTCATTTTCAAAATTTGCTTTTGCTTTACAAATTTCCTATAAATTGTCATGAGATACTGACAAAAAATATATAACAAATTATTGCACATACACATTTTATTCAAACCTTGATTATATTAATTAAATCTGCACAAGCAACACGCTTAAATGGAGAAACAAAATCAATTAGAATTTAGAAAATACTGTTCAAAGTGATTACATTTTCCTTTGTTTACATATCATTAACATTTTGCAGCCAATAATTAAGAAAGTTTGACACAATATTTGACATATTTCTGTTTCTTGAGCAAATACGTTTATTGTAACTTGTTTCTGGGATGAATATCCAGACCAACACTTGATACGTTTACATATGTGTAAAAATTGGAACTAATTAATGTAATAACAACAAACGCATGAAAGTCACAATTGTAGCAGACAACTCTTGCTACACGTGTCAAGGTCAGATATATCTAAAGTTTTTCTTGAAAACCATAAAGTTTTTTTAAAGTGTAACAAGAGTAAAAAAAAATTTAAAATTAAATTTGCTGTGAATTAATATTATTTTTCAATTCGGTTAATGAAAAAAAAGTTCGGCACAGTTTTAGGGGTGAGTCATCCCCAATGAACACCTTGTAGTGCTTCAATTAACTTTAAATCATAAATTACAATATTTTGTACACCCCTACATGCGCCTGCCCTGTGCCGGTTCTTATGCGGGACACCCTGCATTTTCAAGCACTTCAGTTACACCCTGTATTTTTTTTATATCATTCACTATCAAATTTTTTCATTGAACAATCTTTTCAAACAGCTTGTGGGTCATCCTGTTTCCATTCTACAGTGTTTCGTCATTTCAATGAATTATCTTCGAAACCCCGCTTTGCCTTTATTTCTAAACGTGACTAATGTAATTGTTACGAAATGACCAAGGTCGAAGGCACTAGAGTTGTTCCTTATTTAAATTGTTAATGCGAAATGAATAGGGAGAAGTCCTTAGTCACATGCCGTGAATGGAAGTGATTAATATTTCTTTGACCTAAGTAGAC